CTCCTCTCCCTTCCCCTCCCCCTCCCCCTCCCCTCACACCTGCGTGGTAAGAACACACCTGCTGCCAGCTGCAGCCAGGTGGGCAGCCCCGGCAGGAAGAATGTGGGGGATTCCAGCTGTGGCGTTCCAGCTGTGCCAGCCCCTGGCAGCACCCTCCTCCCCCTCAACGTCTTGAAGGCCAGGTGTGCCCTACAATTCGGTCTCTGAGGGGGAGGTCAGGGAGGAGCTGGGGCAGCCTCCGGAGCAGCCACCCAGCTGGCATCTGTGGAGGGGGCGGCAAAGCATGCGCGGTGCGTGCGTGCACACAGGGGTGGTGGGTATTGAGTAGGGGGTCTTGGAGGTGTCAAGAGCTCTGAGTTGCAGGTGCGTGTGTAAAAGTGGCCTTGTGGGGGGGCGCACAGGTGATGAGTGTGCGCCAGAACACGAAGGAGCAGCGAGGGGTGTGAGCATGTGTGCCCCGTGGCGGGTGGAGGCAGGGAGGCTGTGAGAGCAGAGGAGGGGCATGAGTGCCGTGGGCGTGGGGGGGCAGGGTGTGCATGTGGAAGGGTGACAGTGTGGTGTGTGCAGACAGGTGTGGTGTGTGCAGGTCTGGTGCTATGGTGGGGCCCGAGGGTGGGCTGCGTGTGCAAAGGAGAGAGTGGCGGGAGAGTTCTGTGGTGCATGTGGTATGTGAGTGTGAAGGGAGGTTGGGGGTTGTGTGCAAATGATGGGTATTGTGTGTGTGTGAACAAAGGATGTGTGTTGTGTGTGTGTGTGTGAGTGTGTGGAGGATGGGCACACTCGTGCTGGGGTGAGGCATGGGTGTTGCGTGGGGCTTCGTGTGAGGTGTGCCTGCTTGGCACACAGTGGAGGCCTGGGAGGATCATGGGCTGGGCTCCCCTGGGGCATGGGGGGTGGGGGAGGACAGAGTTGGGGGCTTCTGGGAGATGTGCCCCTCATAGCCATTTGCAGAGGGAGCGTCCCTTGGTTCTCAAGACCTTGAAAGCCCCTGGATCCATGAAGGGATGAAGATGCTCCCAAACCTCCCCATCATTGCTTCCCCCTCCCAGCCCCCCTGGCAACCCCCCACTCAAGTGTCCCTTCACCAGGCCCACGAACCCCTAAAACATCTGCTCCTTCCCACAGTCATCCAAGGGACCCCAATCCATTGTCCCCCAAGCTCCTCTGGGGCCATCTGTCTCCTGATCTCCTCCCCCCACCTCATAGCCTCTCTTGGGTCCCCTCAAAGGACCGAGACCCTTTTTCCCACCCGCTGCCTCGCCTAGTTCTCCACCCCACAGCCTATCCCTCACCTCTTTCTGGAACCATCCAGGTCCCCAGCCCTCTCAACCCCCAAATCCCATTCCTGCCCCTTCCAGCAGCCCCTCCTCCTCCCCTCCCCCAGGAGCCCCCCACAACCCTGCCCCTTCCCTTGGCGCCCCCAGGCCTCCAGGCCCTTCCTTCCTCCCCTTGGAGCCCCCTCCCCCTCCTCCTCAGCAGCCCTGAAACTTTAAACGGTGTTAAAAGTTTCTGTTTACGAGAAGCCCTTGAATTTTTAAGGACATATCGATTCCCTTGCATCCTCTCTCCAGCGGCGGCTGCAGGCGTAGGGGCAGGCCAGGCGGTGGCAACCAGCGGCAGGGTCCAAGATATGGAGGTCCCCAAGCACCCAGTGGCAGACACACGCTCCCCCCCCACAAGACATAACTTCCAGTACACTGAGTCCCCCTCCCTGCCGCGCGCATGCGCACACACACACAGTCTGTCCTAAGCACAGACTGACATGGGCTGACACACACAGACACACATACCCAATACAGACACAGAGACCCCTCCCTGGCACATGCACACGCATCACACAAACACAGGCACTAGACACACCCACAGATGCTCCTTTCCTGGAGTGTGCACACCCACCCCACACACCCCAGTCACATGGGCTGACACATAGAAATAGATGTCCAACAAAGACACATGGTATACACACACACTCACACACCTAGTCACACTCATTAACATGACCTGACACACACACGGGCACACACTGACAGGGTCTCACACACACACACACACTGACGTGGCCTGATGTCCCTGACACAGTCACAGAACCCTCCCTGACACACCCAGGAACCTGCATCTGGCCACTCTGGTACACATCCTCATCACTGTGCCAGACCCACCGCACAGACCACCACACAGAGGGAACGACTCACCCAAGGACGGGACGCGCAGGGACACTTTCTGCACAAAATTCCTGGTCATGGGCAGAGCACTGATCCCTGATCACATAGAGACCCTGATCCCTGCCAGAAAGCCCTGCCACACTCACCCTGACTCACCCCGACTCACCCCCCCACCCAGCTCGCCATGACACTTTCCAGAAAGACACTCGTGATGCAGCCCCGGCTAGCACTTGCTGTCACACTTGGATACCCATCAATGTCCTCTGCACTTGACATCCACAGGAATGCTAGCCCCCAAGGGCAGGGCCATTTGTCTTGTTCCCTACTGTGTCCCTAGTGCTTGGCATAGGGCCTGACAGACACCTTCTCTGACTCACTGACACCCCCACGTATACAGCCAGACCCAAGTCACCACTCAATATGCTGATCTACATACAAAGACTCTTGAGTGTAACCTGACCTGAACTTCTTAGGAGTCCCCAGAGGACGCCCAGACCCCCTCCAGACACTCCCGAACATGCTGCCTGCCCCCCTGTCCTAGTGAGGCACTGGGACCAGAAACATTCCCCCTCAGGAACATTCACACGTAGACACACACGCTCTGTGCCCGCTCACAGGGGCTCAGTGGGCACAGAACAGGGCCCTCCAACAGCCAGCCCTGCCTGAACATATGTGTGCACATGCACACACACACACACACACACACACACACACCCCAGGCACCCATGGCCTCCGAAAGACAATGCACAGCTGAGCATTGCCACAGCTTCTTGGCCTAGGAGGGTGAGATGGCGCCGGCTGCACCTGGTGGCAGAAGGGTTCTGTCTTGACAGGAGCTGCCTGGGGGCTGCAGGCACCTCCCTACCCACCCTGGGGGGTACTCCCAGTCCTCAGCACCAACCTCTTGCATTATTTCTTTCTGCTCTGGAAATGAAGAGTCAGGGGCCTGCCAGAGGGGCTGGGGCCTCAGCATTGTGTGTGTGTGTGTGTGTGTGTGTGTCCATGTACCTGAGGCCCGATGCCCATATTTGCCCCTGAGGGCTGGGCTGTGTGTCTCTTGCTGGATATGCAGAGTTGGGGATGGAGCCCAGGGCCTGTGCCTTGCTCTCTAACACTGAGCTGCACCCCAGCCCTCTCCTGCTGTGTCTGTGTATGACCTTGATCAGGGCTACATGCAAGTGGTGGGGGCATGTGGAGGGTCTGAGGTTTGTGTGTGACACCTGCGTGTATGGCCGGGTGATCCTCTTAGGGGTCTGCCCGCTGAGTGGGTATCAGAAACTGTTGGACATGGTGCAGAGGCCTAGAGGTACATTTGGGCAACACTGTGTGTGATGTGTTGTGTTACATTGTACCAGTGACACTTTGTATCTCTCTGTGTTGTTTGGCTTGTACCTCCAGGTAGCAAATGGTGTGTGTTGGTGTGACAATGTGTTCATCCTTTTCTCAGTGTCATTCTGTGTTGGGGTGTATTGCCACAACTGCCAATGTATTTTAGCTTGGTGTGTAGAAGTTTTGGGACAGGGTGTGGTTGTGGGATCATACATGTGTCAGTGCTCTGCAGGAACATTTTTCAGGATGTGTACATGTGCTGGTATGTACTTGGTGTCAGCGTGCACCGGTGTGCTTAGCGTGTGCCAGTGTGTATCTGTGAGGCCCACGGAGGTGCATTGGTGAGTCTGTGTCTCTGCGGGTGCCTCTTCGGAATGCCTGTGTGGGTACCATCATATGATCGGCCTGTGTGTCAGCGTGTGGGTCTGGGTGTGGGTATCACGGCGAGCGGGCAGGGGTATGTGTCTATGCCGGGTGTGCGTTGGTGTCTGTGCTTTGTTGCTGCATGAGGAAAGGGTGGCCATGCGTTCTGTACGTGACATGTGTGTCCGGGTCCGAGCCCCGCTACGTGTCAGCGTGTGTCTGCGCTGGAACGCTGGCCAGCACGTGTCGAGGTGGCCGCGTCGGTGTGCGCCCCCGCGTGTGTGTGCGTGCGTGTGTGTGCATGTGTGTATGTGTGCGTGTGTGCGTGTGTGCGCGCCGGCCGCCCGCCGCTCCCCCGCCCCGCCCGCCCCTCCCCGCGCCCCTCCTCCCGCCCGCCCGCTCCCTCTCCCCGGAGTGCGCCGCTTCCAAACTTTGTCTAAACTTTCACTTTCACAGCGCGGCGGTGGCGGCGGCGGCGGCGGCGGCGGCGGCGGGCGAGGGTGACCGGCCGAGCGGCGGCGGCATGGAGTAGACGCGCGGCGACAGCGGCGGCGGCGGCTGCGGCGGCGGCGGACGCG